GGGGGGGGGGGGGGGGGGGGGGGGGGGGGGGGGGGGGGGGGGGGGGGGGGGGGGGGGGGGGGGGGGGGGGGGGGGGGGGGGGGGGGGGGGGGGAGGGGGGGGAGTTTAGGTAGAAGGTCAAGCACCAGGTGCGAGAGAGGGAGGGAGTTGAGACAAGCACAGGTGCGAGGGAGAGAGGGATAAAGGTACTTATTCTCACCAAGCGTGCTTTCTCTTGAGATTTGTTTCGTACACAAGACGCGTTTTTTGCGAGATCGGTCCATCGCTCGTGATCTACCGCTGCCGGCTTCTTTGCTTTCGAGAGGACAACAACAATTATCGCAGCACCAGTTTTAATGACAAGAACCTAGACATCATCTTGAAACGATTTCCCACGACGCCCGACGCTGTCGACAGCTTCGGATCTCCAGAACATTGCTGACGTGTTTGTGGTCCTTCAATTTGCTTCGACCGGGCTTAACCAATGAAAAGACGTCAGCCTAATAGGCTCAGAAAACACACCCGAGTCATAGTGTTGGGACGCAGGGATTGGATGGCGGTGTCCAGCACAAGTGGACAAACCCCGCTCCTTCTTTATTAAGGAAACATACATCCAATCAAAGGACGACCGCTCCTTTCGAGATAACACCACAGCAGTCGAAGGGGGTGCGTTGGAGTCCCTGCAGTGAAGGTGAAGAGAGAACCGACTGGATGCTGGGCTTCTTTAGACTCATGTTTGAGCCTACAAAACTACTCTGAATCTTTCACCCGTGATGCATACCACAAGAACACTGCGAAGGTATGAATATTCGAGGGATTATTGTTCCCCTGTCTTGGCGGGATCCTCCTGCGGCATTCTGATTTCGGTGACAGTGCACGACAAGCTCGATGTTCCATTTGGATTTGGACCTCACCTCATATCCATGTGGATATGATGTGTAGTGCCTACAGCAATGTTCGTGAGCCGCCAAAGGTCGCAGAATGAATGCGTCAAGAGCCCGCAGTGAACCGCACTCATCGACATGAGATCCACACAAGACTGCTGTGCGTTTTGACCGCACCCTTGCCACGAACTTTCGTATTTCGAGATGTCCCCATGTACCCGAGATGCAAGCTACGAGAACCGAAACACTACTAAACATGGGCGTGCAGAGCAGGAACCAATCTTCCAGAACCGACTGACCGATGAACAATTTGTGTGTGCTCCTTTGGTAGCATCGACCGGTTCGCCAATGAACCGCGTTTGTTTGTTCTACTTCGGTGTAGTGGCATCGACCGCGCTAACAGTTTTTTTTTTATTATCCCGGTTCTTTTCGAACAGTTCGTGTGCGTGGTGGCAACCAGAGCAACCGTGGAAGAGGGGATCTGGCACAAGCGACGGGCGCCCAGGATGTGGTCCAGGCAGCCACCGTTCCACGTGCGCATCGTAAGGCCTAACCCGGTGGGGATGCTGGGTCACATGCTGGGGACTGGAAAGATCAAGTTTGTCCAGAAGGTGCGTCTTGGCCTTCTAAAACACCTGCTCCGTACGTACTTAACTTTCGCTTGTGTGTGTCTGTTTTTCGGGATGTTGTCCTGTTCCCCAGGTTTGGAGGAAACGTTACTCGGCGTGTGTGTGTGCGTCTTTTGGTATTGACATCGACAGCGCTAACCGGTTGCCCAATGAAATTGCCATGTGTTTCCTGTGTGTGCACGCGCGTGGTTTGGTGTGTGTGTGTGTGTGTTTCGGTGCACTCGACATCGCCTTGCCCTGCTCGTGCCAAGCACACGTGCCAAGGCACATCGTGAGCATGTGTCCACAGCCCCCCCAGTCGAGACCAAAAAATCTGCCGCGTGTGTGACGCGCAAGTGTTTCCTTTCGAGAGTTGTTTGTCGCGAAGCTTTGTAGGTACGAGCGAGAACTATAGTTTTTTCCACCGGTGTAATTCATGTTGGGCCGCGTTTTTTTTTTTGTGTGTGTGTGGTGTTTGTGTGAAGCAGGACGTGACGATTTATCCAGCGGTGTAATTCTTGGTGGGCCACGTTTTTTTTGTGTGTGTGTATGTGTGTGAAGCAGGACGTGACCATGAGGAAGACGGACAAGAGAACCGGCCGCTCCATCGAGATAACCCAGCCCATGACCGTCGTGAAGCGCGTGGATGTAAGTCGTGATAGATCCTTGGGCAGACGCCCGTGGTTCTTTGAGTAGGTTGTACGTCGAATCGCTGGCGCAACCCCCGCCTATGTTAAGCCTCTTGAAAGAGCACGGAAAAGAAAAAGACACGTGCCAACTTGTGACTCGACTCAGCGGTGTGATTGTGGAAGCATAAGAGTGTGGCAATGCGGTGTAATTTCTTTGAAATCATCGTCAGATAAAGAGACTCCATGTGTCCAAATAATAAACCTCATGTGCCGCGGTGAGTATTCTATGCATAACCGTAGATGTATGCCCATTTCCTACTGTCCATGTTTTATCGAACGTTTACCTGCGAAGTTTTACAACCGCACATTTTGGCACCAGTTATTTGCGTGCTCGGTGCCTTTTTCGAGCGACGTCGCTGTGCGACAAGGTGAACGTTGACGCATTCCCTCGATTGACAACGCCTACCGCGGCCGCAACCAGAAGGATGTTTACCCGGACAGGAGCGATTCCCATCATCACCGCTGCTAACAAAAAAACTATAACAATACCCCACAGGGGAAACTGCCCAAGAATATGCAGGAAATGATGGCGGCCCAGGAAGAGGGTAGAGAATACACAGGCACCAGCCGTCCCTCGAAGGGGCGCTGGGGGCCTACGACCGTCGAAGAGGTGAGAGTCAAGGACACAAACGAGGACAAAAGCAATACTGCGTATGAGTCACGGGACCATTATGAGCCAAGCGCAGTATGAGTCAAGGGACCAAAGAGCCAAAGACATCAACAACCAAATTATCAATTGAGGGAACAACGAGGCAAAGACAACAACAAAGCCAACAACAACATGGGATAAGGGGACATCTTTCCGAGAGGGCGAGGAAATCGCCCCTCGGGATGGCCCGGCTGCCCCCCCCCC